AGAGAGAGAGAGAGAGAGAGGTCTCATTTTCGCTGAACCCTACTGGAAAGATAGCTCATATACAAAAGTTACCAAGCGGTGTTATGTTTGGGGTAAGAGAGAGAGAGAGAGTGTGTGTGTGTGTGTGTGTGAGAGAGAGAGAGAGAGAGCGAGGGCGAGGGAGGGAGGGGCTGGTGGTAACCCACCTGGATATGGCCGCTGCTTCCTTCGCGTCCTCCCGCTGCTGCGACCCTCGGCTCCCTCGTGCTGCTGTTCAAAGCTGCGCAGGATATGGCTGAACGACGAAGTGGCGGGCTGCTTCCTGCTGTAATGCACACGAAGAGAGGACGACGAGACGATGACGACAACAACGCACGGCGGCCGTGAAGGAGTGTGTGGTTCTAGGGCACCGAGGTAGACTGCCGGGCTGGGGGCCAGCGTGGGGCAGGTCCGAGTAGTTCAAAAATGAACTGGATCTCCCCGCTCTTATTTTTTTGCGGGGCCCTTCGCGGCCTCAAAGTTTTTATTTATTTTTTTTGTAACCGGGGCGGCGAAGTCCCTACCGGGCCTACAACGCCCGGCCCCCCAACTTTCGATTTTAGGGATGAGTCGTTCTCCTTCCTCTTAGTACGTTGGTATTGTCGGAGCGGGTAGATAGGGGTTTCTGGCAAGTGGCCCAGTGATGGCAGAGAAGAGGGAAAGTTTTCAGTCCATTGTCTTCGTATCGTCAATTCTTTTCACGGTAAAGATCATGTGTTTAGCTTGTCTGCCCGAGCTTACACTACCGCCTCTTCCGAGTCACGGCGTACAAGAGCTCAGAAGTCGCTTCTCTTTGAATCCTCTGAGACCGATCTTTTGGGGTAATCTTATGACGAAAACCAGATGTCAGTCCGCTTTTTGCCGGGATCATGGGTAGATACATGTATGTTGTGCTGTATTGCGGAGGCGAGAGATATGTATGTTATTGAAAGACTTAATATTGTCAATCTTTTGTGTACTTGTGATTCCGATTTCACTCACATTGCCGATTCTTTTGTCGTTGGGTCGGTCCTGGTTCATGAGCCTGCAATATGTTTGTGATTTGACTTCTTGTTTACAAGCTGCTAACCATTTACGAGCATGTGGTTGATTGACTCTGAGCTTTAGTCTGATGAAAAGAGTGTGCGGTACGTAACATACGTGTGGTGGTAGTGCATTTGCCAGCTGTCCTGACCAGATGGTTGTGGGACAATGACCAGATTGAGGAAGAAGGCTGGTAACTGATGAGAGCTTATATACTCGTTTTGCTATGTTGAGAACTACTGATGCCGTATTACTGATGCCGTATCCCTTGAGATCCTATCGATCGATCTGTCCGTCAATCGTCTACCCTTCTGTCATGAAATGTGTATCGCAGTTGTGGTGGGCTTCTACTTTCTCCTTTCTCTCTATCTTCCCCGACGCCCGAGCACGCTGCCGAAGTCCCCACGTGGTGGGTTTGTTTTCTTTTTGCTGGCGCCGCCAGCCGTTGTGGTCCAGTAGCACCCAGCGTCCTGGGGCCTCCGAAGAATGCTGTATAGGTTACTTTTGTGGCCGAACGCAATTCCTCCCGGATCCACAGTATCCCCGCCCCAGGCTGCGCCACCACGCAGGCGGCCAAGCTGTTGTTTTCCATCTGTGTGTTTCCTTCTCCCAACCGGCGCTTCACACATCTTCTGTTATCTCCCTCACACCCACACACAAACAGAGACAAACATGACGAGCCCGTGGGAGTCTGACGACACAGTCTGGCACAGTCATTCAGGCGGCCAAGCTGTTGTTTTCCATCTGTGTGTTTCCTTATCCCAACCAGCGCTTTGCACATCTTCTGTTCTCTCCTTTCTGTCTCTCTCTCTCACACCCATGCACAAACAGAGACAAACACGACGAGCCCGTGGGAGTCTGATGACACAGTATGGCACAGTCATGTTTTTTTCGTAGACTTGCGTACAGCGAACATGACCAAACACGCACACAAACACACAGCAAGCCACACCCACACACACCCCGCATACACAGACACACACACACACACACACACACACACACACACACACACACACACACACACACACACACACACACACACACACACATGCGCGCACACAGACACACACACGGACGCACGAGCACACACACACACATGGACGCACGCACACACACACACACGCACACACACACACACACACACACACACACACACACACAAACGGAGGCAGCGGTGGCACATGAATGAGTGTTCTGCCACGTGGCCCACCACACACTATTCACGAACTGTGACAAAGGGTGAGTGCATCTTCACTTTAGAAGTTGACAACATACATTGTCAACAAACAAATAATTGGCCAAATAAAAAATAAAAATAAAAACACCTTCCATTTCATGCTGGGCTTGCCAGTTTTCATGGAGTACCCCTCCGAGGCCTATGGGCCAGTCACTGTGCCCACCCTCCGGTCCCCTCCCAGCAGTCTCTGCTCAATCCCACACAGGAGGACCAATGGTATATCTCTACCAAATGGCGGACGCCAACCTTGCCCAAGAAGGTAACATGAAGCCAATGGGGATTGAACCCAAGATCTCTTGAATGCCAATGGCATGCCTTAACAACTTGGCTAGGCCGCTTGATAATGGCACAAATTTGAATTAACATGGTCCATGATCTTCTTTTTCCCTTTTTTTTTTTTTACAGAAGTTCACTTCATTATTGCACTCCCAACTTCCCAACTGTGCAAGCCAATCAATACGACACGAAAGATGGATGATGGTTTAACGGTGGCCAGTTGTCGGGATTTGAAAATGGTACGCTCTAACAGTGGCGAGGTCATACCTGTTTGAAGGAATTGTTAAAGTTGGTCAACATCGCGCACAGACTCGCAGCAAGGACTCAAATCGCTTTCCTTGCACTAGCACGACAATGCAAAAGATGACGCCATTGTTTCTTGGCCCAACTATCCAGACCTCCCTGGAGAATACACTAAATTGAGGTGAAAAATGAGGGTTCGGTTAACCGGCTGTGGAGAGAGAGAGAGAGAGAGAGAGGGAGAGAGAGAGAGAAGGGGGGGAGGGGCTGGTGGTAACCCACCTGAAGTCGGCCGCTTCCTTCAGATCCTCCCGCTGCTGCGACGCTCGGCTCCTCGCTGCCTCCTGCTGTTCGAAGCTGTGCAGGCTGTGGCTGGACGACGACATGGGGGGCTGCTTCCTGCTGCGACACACACGAGACGGAGACGACGACGACGACGGACACGAGACGACGACGACGACAGCGGCGAGGGGAACACACGGCGCGGGGCAGGGCTGAGGCCGACGAACGAGGTGGGGGCGGCGCGGGGCAGGGCCGAGTAGTTCAAAAACGAACTTTTTTTTTTTTTTTTTTTTTGAAAAACCATTCACCCGGTGATAGTGGTGCTGGTAAGAGCAGACGAACTACTCGGATTTCCCCGCCCTCCAAAAAAAAAAATTGCGTGGCCCTGCGCGGCCTCAAAATTTTTTTTTCTTTTCGTGAACCGGCAGCGCGAGGTGACTACTGGACTTGCAACACCCCCCCGAAGTTTCGTTTTTTTGGGGGGACCCCCCAATTCCACAGTGCGCCGCATGCCATGCGCGCGCGTCGTGCGCACTGCACGGTGTGGCGCACGTGCGCATCGCAGCGCATGGCGATGCGCCACAAGTATGCTTTTGAAGTATAGTAACTGCTTATTTGCCGATATTTCCCAACGGCCTGTACCAGTTGCTTTCAGGCTTGGCAAAATGCAGCGAAGTGCATTTTTTGGTTCTTTAATTTAGCTTCGGATGGACTGGTCCGAGGCTCTTTTTCCTGACCCGGGGCGAAGTCCCAGTAGCTTGGATTCTTCATATCTGGCTGGCCATTGATCTTTGTAATCCAGCCAGATTGGTCCTGTGCACAGAAAGTAAATAAGCTGACGCAGGCACAAAATATTTCTTTTTGCCTGGCGCTGCCATCCATTTCAGTCCGACAGGGGCCAAGTCCCAATAGCTTGGGTTCTTCATTTCCTGCCGTTGATCTTTGTAATCTAGGGTCAGAAATCAAGAATTTGGGTAAGTGGGGCTTGGCCCCTGGATTGGTGCTTGTCCGCATCGAGTAACCATGAATGATCCTGAAATTACAGTTTCGGGGTCAAATTTTGTGTTTTTTTGGAATTTTGTTTTTTGCCTGTTTTAGTTTTTGGACAAGCTTGCTGTGTGTCAAATTTGGTGTCACTAGGGTTAGTAGAATTTGTGCTGTCGATCATCCTGAAAAACCTGAAATTTCAATGATTTTTTTTTTGGCAAAATTGCCTGAAAATGCACTTTTGAGGTGCTGTTTTATGTGTTTCTTTTTTTTTTTTTTTTTTTTTTTTTTTTTTTTTTTTTTTTAATATGTTAGTAAGAAGTGCACTCTATACATTGGTGTGGAGTTTGCTTGAATTGGCCTTATGGTTTTCTTATAAATTGAGGTGAAAAATGAGGGCTCGGTTACGTCCCAAAAAACAAAACAAGCTTTGGTCGTGATTGCAGTTGGATACACTTTTTGGAGTACTGTCCTCAGTGAGGGCACTTCGGCAGAACGAGGAACACGGGGAGCACCACTGTCAGAATCACAAAAAAAANAAAGCTTTGGCCGTGAAAGTGGTTGGATGCATTTCAACGGCACTAGTGTGAGTATGCCCTCAGCGAGGGCGTTTTTGAGCAAGAGGAATATGCGCTGCCTTGCTGGCAGGGAAAGGAAGGAAAAAACAAAAGGAGAAAAAAAAAACAGCAATGTTTTCCTCCCCGTAATAGTGGTCAGATGCATTCTGGAAAGTGATCATTTGAGTATGGGCTCCATGACATCCTTCCACGACATCATTGATCTCTGGCATGTTTTTTCCTTTCCTTTTTTTTTTCCCTTCAGGTGGACATCTGGCACCGTTGCCACTTCCGAAATTCCCACTGCAGGTACTCACACGCAGAAGGCTCGGAAAATATGCCCGCGCAGCAGGCAGGTAGCTTCAGCATTTTAGGTGTGGGTGTACTGGTGGTTCAGTAACGGTGGGTTAATCACAACGCTGGAACATAATGGCTGGGAACGGGGCTGCTTGTTGAAAAGAAATGGTGTCTTATTGATTCTGTGACACATTCTTTTGACCGTGAAAATCGCTGAAGTTGAGGTACTTTTCCCGTTGGCACACATGCGGTAGAGCGGCAAAAATGGAAAATGCGAAGAATCGGCGCGGCATTTATTTCACAGTATTTTTTATTTTATTTTTTTAAATAAATTTCCTGGCAAGACCACGACCAAATCCACATACCCTCCAATTTTCAGAGTTTTTGAATCATTTTTCTGATCGCAAAATATCGTGGTAGTTGGGGTACTCTTTCCGTTGGCCCTCACATAGTAGAGTGGCAAAAACGGAAAATGTGAGGAATCGGCGCTGCATTTATTTCACGGTCCAATTTCTACATCTACACCTACTGTAATAACTGCTAAACGTCATATCGCACGGCCCGAATCGCAGGCTGGTAACCACCGTGGACGGCGTGGATCGCACGTCATTACTGAAGGCGCCGAATTGCAGGCCCGCCCACCCCTCCAATCGTCGGCCACCCACCCTTCCAATCGTCCGCCTGCCCTCCCGTCCGCCGTAATCGTGGCCCGCCCCGCCCACGTACCCGAATCGTCGAATCGCCCGCCCGTCTTCTTTTGTTGGCCGGGCCACCCCTCCAATCGTCCGCGCGCCCGTTTTTTGTTGTTGGGCCACCCCTCCAATCGCCCGCGCGCAATGTTGTTGCCGCCCATGGCCACTTCTCTAATCGCCCGCCACTTTCGTCTGCCTATCAACGTGGGTGTGTGTCTGCTCCGTGGTCGGTGAGCGTGTGCGTTGTCGAGCGCATCGGCCCGGCACCGCACGCGGCGGTGCGGGACCCTCTCGGCCGCGTCACGCAGTAGTTGGATCATTCTCGACATAACGCGCGAGTGGAGCTTCCTTAGGCCGCTCCGGCCGAGTGCGCCAGCCAATCCTCTCGCGAGCCCCTACGACAGGATAGGGCCTACGCGAGGCACAACTTACCTCCACCTTACGGGAGTTGTCACCTCCCATCGGTGGGCGTATCCTCGCCGAGCTACCAGACCACAATACGAAAGTTGATCAGCTGCAATCGCAGAGGTGGACCAGCCGAGGGCGTTTCTCGTTCGCTGTAGCATAGGGGGTACGCTCGGTAATACGCCTATCGGACCCGCACGCGAACCGCCATCTTGGGGAACTGAAGTCCCAGGCGCGGCTCGTCGCCGGTCGACTAGGACGCATCCTACACACCACGCGCACACCACTCTACGAACACAAAAATAAAACACACACACACACACACACGAAACGACACCACACGAACAACGCGACACAAAACAACGCGGCAACGCTCCTAGCCCCTCGGTAGCCATCCCATAACTTTTCGATACGAAAACCAAATGGGCGTCGCGCGCGAGACCTGATATAAAAATCGCGCGGACACAGGGCTAACTCATACCGACTCACAATGCAAGCGTACACACGCGGTCGCAATGATGGCGTACCATGTAGTACCCATACTCACGCGGTCCTCGTTAATCTCGAGGGTCGCATTCGACACTCGAGTGTCGGCTGACACGCGCCTAGAGGGTTAATCTCTCGACGCTGGACAACCGCCATGCGCGGTTGGAGACCACACACCCTCTTCTGCACCCCTTATTTAGAGCGGGTGGTACACAGGCCCATGCCTGTGGTGGTAGTCGTCTCTCGCGGCCCTAGGGGTGAGTCCTCCCCGGGGCCTGGACGAAAGTCAAGGGATTTGACTTTGACGACTGCCACGGACTACAACGTCCAACCATACAAATCTCTAAGAAGCAACAGGACTCACACGAATCCAAGAAAAGGGGATAGGGCGAGGGTCTCCCGGCCCTTAAAACAAAAATTCATGGCTCTGGGACGCACTTCCCTTCTACAGCCCGTGTCGGCGGCCTACAATAATCCCAAGCGTTGCGCCTACGCGAGAGCCCAGCAGTCCCATAACTTTTAGACGCCGGGGGCGGCAAGGCGTCACGCGCAGGGCTCCGATATAAAATTGCGCGGCCGCAGGCCAACCCTATGCCAACCACTGATGCCAATCATATGTGGTAACCGCGGCTTCGGCCTCGCGATATTGAATGGCTGAAGGAACTCATCGCGAGGGGTTACCCCTCACGATATTGAACGGCTGAAGGATACGCCGTTCGGACCTTGCGACATTTCCGCCCTCCAGGCAGAGTGTCCCGCCAGCCAAAATAAATAGGCTTTATGCAAGGGGAGACCCTTCCCCTTTTGGGCCTCGGGCTTGGGATGTCCTGGACAGGGACCTCGAATCCCGGCCCAGGACCAACGTCCAACTAGAAAAGCCCCAAGACGCAAATAGGCAGAAAGGGGGGGGGGGGGTCTTCCCTGTCCCTCAGTTCCAACCTCCGCGCGGTTAGCACGGCCCCCTTGGGCCCCTTGGATACCCATCGTACGGATACTCGCGCATACATGCATAAGGGGATAGAGTTATGACGATCACTCCTCACAGGCACAGTGAGACACCTCACAACCGTGCATATGTATATGGAATCGCAGGCAGTCCAAATCCAAAATCCAAGCCACAGGACATACTTGCAACCACACCAAGAATCAAGCGACAAAACACGCACTACACGGAGTCAAACCCAACCGTTCTCTATGCTTATACCCCTTCGCTTTAGCCATGCAAGCCCCAACTGTCGGTCCAACCAACCTCAATTAAATACTCAGTACCCTTTGTTAAATGACCATTCAATAAAAGTCCGGGTGAAACCCTTAACAAACAGTAAAAACCACCAGGGCTAAAGCCTTTTAGGTTGAGTATGGGGAATGGATTGAAATTGAGTCGAAGACCGACGAATCGGCAACCGACCTGTTATTAGTGATAACAGAAGACGATCCTCCAGGGATCAAGTTGAATCTAGTCTTGATCTTGATTCGAACGATCAAGACGACCTGTAACACATGACAGACCAATCCCCAAGCTGAGATCATGAGCGTGTGAAGAATACAACTCCATAACATAGTCTTACTCAAATCCTCCTAGATAGCTAAGCCTAAGTCTACCTCGAGGCGGTGCCCAAAGCAAAGGCAGACCCTGGTTGAATCTCCCCTATTCAGGGTGAATCGCCAGAATCGCCATCTGCCAAAATATAATCTACCTCCTCTAAATCAAGAAAATTTCGGCAACGCTTCCCGTAGGAAAAGTGTCTCTCCAAAGTTTATATCAGCCCAAATATGAAAACAAAAATAATCTCCAACTCTGGAATGCCAAATTCTATCTAACTCCCTGAATTAGTAGAAATTTGGACAGCACTCCCCTTAGAAAGGGAGACTTCCCAGATTTATACTAGGTCAGATATGAACTCACAAGGCAACTTGAGTTCTACTTAAACAAGTTTTGACCAACTCCTTAGTCTTGCAGAAATTTCGGCAACACTCCCCCTAGAAAAGTGCTTTCCCAAAATTCATACAAAACCAAGCTTAGAACCCGAGACTAACTCTGACATCCCAAAGTCCGATTTTGTCTAACTCCCTGAATTAGGAAAAATTTGGGCAGCATTCCCTTTAGAAAGGCTTTCCAGAGTTTTACTAAGTCAGATATGACGAAAGGACGAGCTAAACTTTGGCAAATCAAAATTTATCTAACTCCTTGAATCTGTAAAAATTTCGGCAGCGCCTCCCGTAGGAAAAGTAGCTTACCAGAATTTATACAGATCCAAGTACAGTAACAAGCCTCAGGAAATGCAAAAATCGGTCTAAGTAAAATAAAGTCAGCTCAGCAAATGCAGAAATTGACCTAACTCCTATCGCTCTAGCACGTGGCGAACCTCTAAAGCAACTACCTGTCAACCTGAAACTCAAACCAAGTAGTAGTCTCACTCCGCCACATGCAGGCCAAACCACAAAGGAAAGTACTCTCGCCATTCCCAAGTTCTTTCAGCAACCAATAGTTCATGCTTTCTCAGTGAGTTACCCCTTTATACCCAACTTACATAAGGCATAAGTCAGGGCACCTGAACTTACAGAGCGCGCCCAACTTAGCCAGGCCCAAAGTCAGAATACCTAAACTTATAGAGCGTTCTGACTTGGCCAAGTATACACAAACTGAGGGCACAACTACTTCTCTCTTCTTTGGGCGTCTGACTAGACCACTCTAGTCGCCCTGAACTGTTTAAATAGCCAGATTATATATATATTGTCACAGAACTATTGACTAAGAGCATGAGCATGTGAAGTAGAAGAAGAAACAAGATGAGCAAAGAAAAGAAAAATGAAAGGAAAGACAGGCAAAGAGACAGACAAACCAGAATGACACTTTGTTTCACAGTAT